AGCAGAGTGTGTGTGCGGTGCGGTGGTTAGCGTGACACAGCGCGAAACCAGAATTCCTTTTTTCCGCAATGGAAAGCATATTTACACTGTTTGAATCGTTCATTATCCCCTATATACTGCACTATGTGTCATTCACTGTACAGAAAATAATAATTCTGTGGACAAGTGACCGATTTCAGCGTCTATTTTATGCACCCAAAAAACCCCAAAAGTCAGTGTTTGCTATATAAACGACATCGTGGTCGTCTGCCAAGGTAACTTCAGCCTGTCTATATAAATATAATTATACGTGTGTGTGTGTGTGTTCTTACAACTTGCTTGTTAGTCAAGTTCAATCACAAATATACCTGTTCATTGTCGTTTTACTAATCTCATGGTAAATGTTATGTTTGTTGTCTTAGAAAATTCGTTCCAAATAAATGAAGATATTTTATTAAGTGAAAACTAATCTTGTTCAATGTTTTTGATTCTTGTGCACCCCTCAGTTATTAATATATAAAAATATATTTGTAGTATATTAAAAGTTCATCACAGCGGTCTCTTCTGCTGCATCTCTACGGCGCTGATAGTATGAGCGTTAACTTCCAGGAACTATTGAGCGGCTCCACGATCCGCCATTGCTGTAAAAAAAACTGGTCCATTGGACTGAACGGAGTTGTCACAACTCTCTCTCTCTACAGCTCTGGTCATAGCTATCAATGGGGTCAGCCCCACCTCCTCACTAAGATAAAAGTTTTTGTCTTTTCCTCGCTCAGAGTTGCTCTCAGGTTGGTCCTGAATCACTTTTAAGCTAAGACTCCTAGTTAGACATTTTAAAGCTAAATTAGGAGCTCTCAGGATTCTTAGAATCTTTAAGAATACGGGCCCTGAAGTAAAGGTAAAGTCTGACCCTAAAAGGACAATAATTCTGAAGAAAGGTATCTTTCTCCTGAAAAGCATGTGATTTGTAATCTGAAAGAAAAGAACTCAATAACCAACCATATGCTTTTTATAGATGATGTATTTACAACGTTGAGCAGAAGGGCTATGGGGCAAACCAACCAAACTTTGATCCTCTGGTCTGACAAACATGAGAAATAACCAGTCACACTTTTTGTTGTTGTTGTTTTTAAATGCCATTAGGAAGGGGTTTACCTGAAATAGTTGATACCACAATTAAAAGAAAAGGAAAATAAATAAATAAATAAAAAACGGGTGCTGCTCTGCATCCTGAAGAAATGTCAAAATTGCTGTCCGTCCAAAAGTAATGAATACAGATTAGTTCACAATCATGACTGAATCTTTCTCGATATTTGAGTTCCTCAAATAAAACTCAAAATATATTTTGCAACTAACCTTGGCAAATCCAGTTATTAGGTCAGTGAACAGATTGTAGACAGGCTGTCTGAATCTGAGACTAGTGGCCATATGACATTGCCACAGTAATAACGTGTGCCTACTATTTGGATAACAGTTCTACAATCCTAGATTGTCAATACAGCTAAAACATATGACTGGAAAAGGATCTGATGTGAAACATTTGTAAATTTAGAATCACAGCTGATGGGGCTGGATACACAAACAGCATTATCATTTGCATCTTGATCATTATTTTAATGCACTTTTTATTTTTTTGCAAATACTTAATGTACACAGTATACTAAAACACTTCAGCAATACTTATTTCCTCATACCAATAAATCACACTAATCTGAAGCTGAATTTGTGAGAGAGAAAGAGCAAGGCGGCAAAAAAAGGAAGGGGTTGGTACTCATTTGCTGACTGACATCTGACAGAAATATTAAACCGCATTTCATTTCTTGGCTTTAATGAGGCTCACTAAAGATGCTCAGAGCAAAGACAGGGCAAGGTCATAGTCACCTGATATTCTTGTTCAACAAAATCCACTAAAAAATCCACTCATCACCATAAAGACCCCCTGTCCTAAAGATCTGGCCAACAGTGCCATTAAACATTCAATTTTGGGACCCTCCAAAACAAAGACGACAGGATAAAGAACAGTTGTGCTAGTGTCCACAACACATTTTAAATGCTGGAGGGAGTTTGAATAGATTGACACCATACATGAAACATGAGAGAATACACGTTAGGTATACATAAAAACAAAATCAAAAAACTTAATTCCCAGATTTAAATAGTCAGTTTAAAAAGGTGGACTTTTTAAAACTTGCGGAAATTGTCCTCTTTAAACACCAAAACCATACATTACCTAACCTGTGATCATTTTCATGTTTCTCACATCTGCTGTACACTCTAAAAAAAGATGGTTCTTTAAAGGTTCTTTACATGCAGTGATGGTTTTATTTAGAACCATGGCAACACCTTTTATGCTGAAATGGTTCTTTGTGTTAGAGTTTAGGGTTCTTTGTTCCCGCCATTTTGTTTTTCAAATCTGTAACTGTCAAAGCATCTCATTACTGATTTTCTGGAGTTCAGTGATCCAACTACACAGACTGTCAACACACTCTCAACAGGTAAATTATTTCATTCTTAAATTTAAATACAAGTTTAACTTTAAAATAGTAACTGGTTTCCAAACAAACATGTTCTTATCTCTATTTTTAGTTTTTGTCACATATAAGTGTGTGCAGCTCTGCTAAGCTATGGAAACGTCTCTCCACTTCTCCACAAAGTAAGTAAAGGAGACAATTAATTTATAATTCATATTGTTAGATTTTTTTTTAATTATTACTTGGGTTTATGTATAAACATACCCAGTCACAACAAAATATTAAAACTTATCCCACAAGATTGTGAAGGGCTCACATACTGTCCATTTTTGCTTTTGGCCTTCATAAACATAATTGTTTTTACATAAACACACTGTAACTCTAAACTCAACTGTGTATTTCAGAAGTATCACATCCTGCAACCTCATCACCTGCAGAGAAAAAAATGCCACTTAATCACACCAAAATTATGGACTTTAAGGCATCATATGGATTGGACTGTGATTGTTTCACTGAAACTTGGTCTTTATAACATCTTTTTTTTTTTACTTTATGTATTTATTCATGTTCAGTGTCAATTGTCATTCATTAATGTATTCAGCTAATAACTGTTAAGAGCACTGACAATTTTGTCAATAAAAACATACCTAATTCACACATGCTGCTGTTGTGGTTATTGTTTTAATGTAACTGAGGCTACACTCTAAGATGTCTCATTACCTATTTTCTGGAGCTCAGCCATCCAACTACACAGACTGTCAGCACACTCAACAGGTAAATCATTTCTTTCTTAAAATGTTTATGAATTATAACTTTCAAATGCTAATTGGTATCCTATGTCTTTTCTCTTTTTAGTTAAGAGAACATGCAAGTGTGACCAGCTCTATTTAGGCAAGGATACTCTCTTCTTCACTAAGTAACAAAGATATTGAATTTATGGTCCATTTTGTTAGATTTATTACTAGGGTTTATGCATAAACATACCCAGCTATCGCTTGAATTTATTACTTTCCTTTTAACATTGTGAAGTGCTCACATACTACTTTAGGCCTTTATAAACCATTTTCACAAATTAAAGGAGACAAACCGTATATCTAAACTTAATGGTGCATTTCAGATGCGGTCACAGCCTACAACCTCATCATCTGCAGAGAGAAACTGCCATTCAAATCACACCAAAATACACAATGGACTTACAGGTATCAGAGGATTGTGAAGATTTCACTGGAGCTTGATCTCCAATACACCATTTTGTTTTACTTCTAGCATTACTTGTTCAACGTCCATTGTCATTCACGTATCCTGCTAATAACTGTTAGAACGCTGTCATTTTTGCTACAATCAAAAAAAAAAAAAAAAAAAAAAAAAAAAAAAAAAAACATTAAAAATGTTACTTAACACCATTAAGGTCCTATATGGCATTTTTAAAGCACTGTTCTATATGGAACCCTATAAAAAGGTTCTATTTAACATTAAAAAGGGTTCTGCTATATTTACAAGCTGAAGAACCCTTTTCTGGTACCATTTTTCTTAAGTGTGCTAGTATAACTACAGTGACGTGTACACCACTTATTACAGTTTATCCAGAAGGTTGAGCAACCATTAGGGGTACACTACATAAAACCAGTCATTATATTTTAAATGGTATATGGAGTAAATAACCAGGCAACAAAAGACATGTAGCTGAGGATTGTTGTCCGATTTAAAGCAACACTACACCTACAACAGCAAGCTTGGTATTTAAAAGAGATTACGCACTCAACACCGCATTCATTAAATGCAATTTATTGCTGCAAAATTACACTATAAAAAAAAAAAAAAAGCACATACTTATACCATATAGCACTGACATTTGTCTACGGAACCAGAGCACATGGCAGTCCCTTAGCCCTTGACAGATGAAGAGTATCGTCCTGTAGCAGAGGAGCTCTGGGAAGGTCTGAAAAAGCCAGTAGCTTTTTGGTCATAGGTGGAACCATAGCTACTTGAGATGAGTGATGTTGAGTCACTGGACTGACCAGAGAATATACCTTGTAAAGCTCCTTGGACACTTGAGCCTAGAGATGAAGTCATGGAGCTTGAGGGTTGATTAACTGAAGCAGACAGACCAGGAGATATTTGGCTGATTGTGGAGCCAGAAGCAGCCTGAGCTGAGAGCTTAGAGGGTCCGAGTCCTGTACCAAAGAAGCTTAATGTCCTCCGAGAATTAGAAATAGAACTCTTGGCCACAGAATCCACAGAAGGGCTCAGGGCTGGCAGGAAGGAAGACCCACTGGAAGTCTGAGAGCTTTGAGGGAAAGAGCTGCTCTGGGGTACAGCTGTGCCAGAGGCCTGAAACCATTGGCTCCAAGTTGAGGCTGAAGGCTGCCGTTTTCGAAATGCCTCCGAGCCAATCGATGATTCACTTGGAGAAGCCAGATTGGACACAGTGTATTGACTGGACACAGAAGGGGCATACTGGTTAGAGGTACCTTGAAACTGGAAAGACGTTCCAGTGAAGGTGGTTCCTGTCCGAGCAGGCACATAACTACTAGAACCTGCCAGCTGAGTTCCAGCCATACTCCGGGAGCTTGATGCATACAGGCCAGAAGAGCTTGGATCACTGTCTGAGAGCTTTGAGGGAAAGAGCTGCTCTGGGGTACAGCTGTGCCAGAGGCCTGAAACCATTGGCTCCAAGTTGAGGCTGAAGGCTGCCGTTTTCGAAATGCCTCCGAGCCAATCGATGATTCACTTGGAGAAGCCAGATTGGACACAGTGTATTGACTGGACACAGAAGGGGCATACTGGTTAGAGGTACCTTGAAACTGGAAAGACGTTCCAGTGAAGGTGGTTCCTGTCCGAGCAGGCACATAACTACTAGAACCTGCCAGCTGAGTTCCAGCCATACTCCGGGAGCTTGATGCATACAGGCCAGAAGAGCTTGGATCACTTGTAGATTGGCTAGAAAAATCTAGGGATGAACCACGCTTGGCATATGCAGGGGACCCAGAGCTATACAGAGTTGAGGTACTTTGAGACAGGCTGGACAAGCCACTATATCTGCCACTTCCTTCTTGCGTGGAGACAAATTGGCCAGGACCTGCTGCAGAAGTACGGGTAGAGAACTTACTGGGAGCCTTGGAGCCTTGAGATGGAGAGCCACTCTGTAATGAAACCGTACCAGAGGTCTGGAAACTTTGCAACCGTTTAGAGGAAGTCTGCCATTGAGATGGTTGGTTCGGAGACAAGGGTCCACTTACTGGGTAGAGGTACCCTGCAGACGGAGAGACGAGCCATCAGTTAAGGTGCTTACTGACTGTACAGGCACATAAGGACTAGAGCCTGCCAGCTGAGTGCCAACCCTGCTCTGGGAACTTGATGTGTACTTTCTGTAGGAGCTCAGACCACTGGAAGATTGGCTAGAAACGTCCAGCACAGAGGAACCACGTTTGGCATATACAGGGGACCGAGGGCTATACAGAGTTGAGGTACTTTGAGACAGGCTGGACAAGCCACTATATCTGCCACTTCCTTCTTGCGTGGAGACAAATTGGCCAGGACCTGCTGCAGAAGTACGGGTAGAGAACTTACTGGGAGCCTTGGAACCTTGAGAGGGAGAACTACTTTGTGATGTCACCGTTCCAGAGGTTTGAAAACCTTGGGACCACTTAGAGGAAGGCTGCCATTGAGATGGTTGGCTCCGAGACAGTGAGGGTCCACTTGGAGCCTTACTGTACACAGGAACTTTAACATCCAAAGGAGAAGGTGCATACTGGCTAGAGGTACCTTGCATCTGGAGAGATGAGCCACCACTAAACGCGTTTCCTGTCTGCATGGGTGCATGGTGACTAGAGCCTGCCAGCTGAGTGCCAGCTCTGCTCTGGGAGCTTGATGTATACTGGCTGTAAGAGCTCGGTCCACTGGTAGACTGACTAACACCTAGGGGTGAGGCAGCAAGCTTGGTAGATCCAGATAACCCAGGACTATACTGACTTGAGGTCCTTTGAGACTGGCTGAACAAGCCACTATATCTGCCACTCCCTTCTTGTGAGGAGACAAATTGGCCAGGACCTGCTGCGGAGGTAAGGGTAGAGAACTTACTGGGAGCCTTGGAGCCTTGAGATGGAGAGCCACTCTGTAATGAAACCGTACCAGAGGTCTGGAAACTTTGTGCTCTAGAGGCAGAAGGATGCAGTTGAGATGGCTCGCTCTGAGACAAGGATCCACTTGGGGCAGTTTGACTGTACACAGGCACTTTTGCATCCAAAGGAGCGGGCACATACTGGGTAGAGGTACCCTGCAGACGGAGAGACGAGCCATCAGTTAAGGTGCTTACTGACTGTACAGGCACATAAGGACTAGAGCCTGCCAGCTGAGTGCCAACCCTGCTCTGGGAACTTGATGTGTACTTTCTGTAGGAGCTCAGACCACTGGAAGATTGGCTAGAAACGTCCAGCACAGAGGAACCACGTTTGGCATATACAGGGGACCGAGGGCTATACAGAGTTGAGGTACTTTGAGACAGGCTGGACAAGCCACTATATCTGCCACTTCCTTCTTGCGTGGAGACAAATTGGCCAGGACCTGCTGCAGAAGTACGGGTAGAGAACTTACTGGGAGCCTTGGAGCCTTGAGATGGAGAGCCACTCTGTAATGAAACCGTACCAGAGGTCTGGAAACTTTGCAACCGTTTAGAGGAAGTCTGCCATTGAGATGGTTGGTTCGGAGACAAGGGTCCACTTGGAGCAACCTGACTGTACACTTTTGCATTCAAAGGGGTATACTGGCTAGAGGTACCTTGCAGCCGCAGATATGAGCCATCAGTAGAGGTGCTTCCTGTCTGTACAGGTGCATAGTGACTAGAGTCTGCCAGCTGAGTGCCAGCTCTGCTCTGGGAGCTTGATGTATACTGGCTGTAAGAGCTCGGTCCACTGGTAGACTGACTAACACCTAGGGGTGAGGCAGCAAGCTTGGTAGATCCAGATAACCCAGGACTATACTGACTTGAGGTCCTTTGAGACTGGCTGAACAAGCCACTATATCTGCCACTCCCTTCTTGTGAGGAGACAAATTGGCCAGGACCTGCTGCGGAGGTAAGGGTAGAGAACTTACTGGGAGCCTTGGAGCCTTGAGATGGAGAGCCACTCTGTAATGAAACTGTACCAGAGGTCTGGAAACCTTGGGATCTAGAGGCAGAAGGATGCAATTGAGATAGATGGCTCAGAACCAACGAGGATCGACTTGGAGCAGCTTGACTGTACACAGGCACATTTGCACCCAAAGGAACCGGGGCATTCTGGCTAGAGGTACCTTGAGATTGCACAGAAGAGCTATCAGTAGAGCTGATGTAACCTCCTGCAGAGGACAGTGAAGAGAGCCTACTGGGAAACCAAGAGCTGCTCTGTGATGCACCAGATCCTTGTGACACTGTACTAGAGGCTTGAAAACCCTGGGTCCTAGTGACTGAAGGCTGCCACCCCAGAGATGACTTGCTTGGAGAGAGAGAACCACTCAGAGTTGCTTGATAGTACTGGCTGGACATGGGAAGTTTTGCACCCAAGGAAAAAGCTGGAGCATACTGGCTAGTGGTGCCTTGAGGCTGGACAGACAAACCATAACTACTTCCCTGTCCTGGTACATATTGATGGGAAGCTGCCAGCTGAGTGCCAACCCTGCTCTGGGAGCTTAATGTATACTGCCTGGAAGAGCTTTGACCACTGGTAGCCTGACTAAAACCTAGGGGTGAAGCAGCAAGCTTGACATAGGAGGATCCAAAGGAATTCTGGCTTTCAGCACTTGGAGGCTGGGTGAGCAAACCACTTGTAGAAACAGGCTGGCTGACACCTCCTGCCAGTTGTGGCCCAGAGCTGCCCTGATAAGTAGCAGTAAAAACACGGCGGGAACTTCCTGAGGATCTTGTGGAAGAGCTACTCGGTTTAGAAAGCAGACTAGAGGTTGTTCCCAACTGAAGGCCAGAGCTGATCTGAGAGCTTGCTGTAAACATGTTTGAGGGGCTTTGATTACCGGTGGGCAGGCCAGAAACATCAAGAGGTGAGAAACTAAGCTTTAACAAAGAGTCAGGGGTAGACTGACTAGAGGAGCTTGGAGACAGGATGGACAAGCCACTGGAACTACCACCGCGTACAGGTGTGGAAGCAAGTTGAGCAGAAACTCCTTGCAGTCCAGAGCCATCCAGAGGAGAGAGAGAAGACCAGCTGTAGGAACCTTGTCTATCAGCAGACTGGCTAACTTCATTCTGGGTATTTGGACTGGAGGAACCCTGGAGTTGAAGCACTGAAGAAATGCTATCAGAGACACTTGGTGCACTTTGTTTACGAGACATAGGTTCATAGCTGCTGGAAAAGCCTCCTTTTACATACTGACGTGAAAGGGAAAACCTAGACCTGCTGGCATTCAGGCTTTTCCCAAGAACCATATTAGGGGCCACTTCTTCAACAGGAATGCTTCCAGTCACTGGAGCCTCCAACACAGAAGACTGGATTACCCTAGGGGAAGAGCGTTTGTGGACAGGCCAATTCTCTTGAAGCTGAACATTCTGAGAAAACGAACCTAGAGAACATAAGCACAATGAATAGAGTGCAGGAACCTTTAATAAAATAAATAAATAAAACGCATACACCACACACACACACTACCATGCTCACCTTCATGACCAACAGCATGTTTCAAGAAAATCAAGATGATAACCAAGTGGTGGACCCTAGAGAGAGAGAAAAAATAAAAAAGATAAAAACTCCACATAATACATGTAACTGACAACACAACAATAGGATTTAAAATTAACTAACCTTTTCCAACCCATAACCGAAAAAACCATTAACAAAACTGCTTTGTTGAAAAGAGACTCTATTACACCAAACCAGAACTGCTTCAAGTGTATACACTCTGAACCAGGCATTTGTCTTTTATAAGCATGTTTATCCAATCAGCTGACATGTCTAATTACATAAAATACTGTTCACCTGTGAACACTTGGCTGGATATTTGATGACTGAATTTGCCAATAAGTCATTAAATACAATCACCTGTCTCATCCATTCGCAGCCGTTACACACACCATAAGGCCTGCACCACAAAGCATGTTTTTGTGGCTACCTAAGAATGTGTGAGAATATATATATTGTGATATTTTGAAAGTCATTAGTGCAAGAGATTGCACTTTGCAGAACACATGCTAAGTAGGTCACCAGATTAATAACCACACTCTCAGTGTAATGCTAAGCTTATTTTATGTAACAGCTAATCTATTTTATACGTACACTACTAATGACATGCACCATAAACATAATTTATTTAGACCACCCTGGCAGATACATTAGAAAAGTAGATTTGTGCACAAAAGTCTTTATTGCATGTGTTTCAACATTGGGCTCTTTAAAATATTACCTTTTATACTCAGACATGGCAAATACTTAAAGCAACAGTGCAGCTTTCTCAGAAGGTTCCTTGAAGGCATTTTTAACTGGCTTATATAATATCATAATATACAAATATACATTGTATACTCTGAAAATGGAGAAAAATAGCTGCATATGCATAACTCGTAGTGCAGTGTCCACAAAAGAAATAAAATGATTTTTTATTTTTTTATTTACCAGTACCACTGAAGATATACACTATGCACAGGAGTTTCTGTTTAATTTATTCCACGATATTAAGTGTCTGACTTCATTTTAAACAATTAAAACCTTAAATTGATTTACTATGTTTAACACCACTGGATATCTACTACTGTTATTAATCCTGATGCTATGCCAAAGTGAACCTTCACAATGTGTTCCCGCTCTTTAAGGAAGTGTGATGAAACTGTGTTTCGCATGCCTATGAACAGTGGTTGCCACACGTTTCAATTCATGCATCAAGGCATATTTGAGTGTGCTATTGTGGGGAGATGTGTTGAAAGGTTTCAAAGATTTCCTCAGCACAACCATCAGGTTATTATGGGAGCACTGCAATTACCCAGAACCACAGGTGTGTGTGTGTGAGAGGAACATAATGGCCACTCTACACTCTCGGCTCAAAGCCAGATGAGGTGTGGGTCGACTTCCCCCCAACCAACAACTGCTGATTAATATTTATGGATCTTTAATCACAATAAGAGAGTTCTTCCTGTCCCCAACAGCTTGGCAGAGTCACTCTGACTGAAAAGCTCAAGGATCACATTAATTAAAGCGAGTGGACATGATCGTGAATGGTACATCCATCATTCCCACACTCATTAAAGAGGTCACATATCCAGATAAAAACTCAAATAAAGGCGGCAAAAATTGGCCTAATCTAACAACCTGCAATTAAAGGTAGTTGGAGGAGCTCTTTAATAAGGGCACAGATTCACACAGGACGGTTTAACATGCCAAATCATTGGCTCTGACTGACAGACATTAAAGAAAAACAGGATTTACATTAAGACCAAGTTTACATGAAACACATCTGATCCGAAATTTAGGTTAAAAAAAATGTTGACTCAAACCACATTGAAATATAAGGGCATTTTTAAATATAAAGGTAAATGCATACTGATATACCAATGAAAGCAATCTGAAAAACGAATGAAAAAACTGAAAAACGGATAGTTCCGGTCCTTGATTCTGACTGGTTGAGCCGCGTTTGAAGCTGTTGTAAATTACACTACAAACATACACCTTTGTTTACAATTTATAACAGCTAAGGGGGCTTCGCGTCGTGCCTAACAATGCCCCTTAGCTGTTATAAATTCACTGTAAACCACGGCTTCTTGGGGCTTATTGCTTTAATAATTACTATTTTCCTGAAGTCTAGAATTATTTACATTCGTTACAAATAACGCATTATAAATGCAATGCTGTTTGTAGTGCCTAATTCTAAAGCCCCATTCACACCAAGAACGATAACTATAAAGATAACTATAAAGATAACGATATTAGCGTCCACACCAGCGAACGATATCGTCTGTTTATTCTAAGCGCACATGCATCTGCCGCTTTAAATTCTTGAGCTCGTTACAGCAGGATGGATTCTGATTGGCTGTCAGTGTTTTATCGTTCATCAGCTGGAGAAAAATCATTTTGATAGTGATCACAACGATATCGTTCCTCTGTATCGTTATAGTTGTGGTGTGAACTATGCTATTCTTTAATATTGAGAACGATTTTTAGAACTATATCTTTATCGTTATCGTGCTTGGTGTGAACGGGCCTTAAATGTATCTTTATCATCTTAGTAAGAGGATTCATGTTAAACACTTTTATGCATTTCACCTTGACTATGTCCAGGCCTCCGATTAGTTCCCCTTTAACATACAGCTGTGGGTACGTCGGCCAGTTGGAATACGTCTTGAGTCCTTTTCTAACCTGTGGAAACAATCAGAAGTGCATGTTTTGGCTAAAAACACAAAAATATAATTTATTTAGGGACATTCATATAGTAAAAATAAAATTGCATTCTAAACATGATTGCTTAATTGCTATTTAATTATTCAGTTCTCAGTCTGTAAGGAGCTCACTTGGTTTTGGAACACAGTCTTTCTTGAAGTTGCTTTGGCAAGACAACATTACCAAGAATGGAAACATAAACTTAAAACTGAAGGAACTCTCACCTCTTCATCTCCCAATATGTCAAACGTTCCGTACTCAACTCTGAAATGTTAACGAAAAACATGTTACTTTAATGACATACATTTAGTCTTTCAGTAATTCATAATTCACATTAAGAACATTCTCCAAAAAGATCTTAAATGACACTGTACGTGTAGATTCTGGAATCGTAAAAGTCTCTCACCCCGTGCTGTTTATCATTTCAAGTATCTGACGGCTGAATCCACATTTGGCAGCCTGAGTATTCACAAAGACACGAGTTAAGAGGATGAAAACGCTAGAACATCTTTCACATCATGAAAGGCTGCAGTGAAGCGAAACCCTGCGCTTGAAAGCCAATCAGAGGAAGCAAGTTTTAACTCCACAAAAACACACGCAGACTACTGGAGAAGCTCAAAGAACAGAGTACATAAGATACGAGCGGCTCCTCTGGGCCCAAACCAGCACAGAACCAAACTTGCATTTAGAAACTTACAACTACAACCACCTACAAAAGATATTCTGAAGTGTGTCTCAATAACTAAGGGAAAAAGAGGAGGTAATAAAATCGAGAGAGACACAGAGAGAAGCCAGTCTCGTGGGGAAAGACTTTAAACTACTGCAAAGAATGTCTTTCATGTGTGAGTGTTAAAGATCAATACAGTTATGAGGAGAGAGGTGAGGGGTCTTTCTCCTCCATTAAAGAAAGAGAACGCAGCTCTATCAGTGCCGGAGCCGCCTGACATCGATTTCCAGCAGCGTTTTACCACTGCATGGTTTCTTTTACTGTACGTTAAAGGAAAAGTTCACTCAAAAAATATCTTTCTGTAATTATTTACTCACCTTTATGTAATTTCAAACCCACATGACTTTCTTCTTCTTCAGTGGAACACAAAGGCAGACTTTTGCACAGTAATATTACTTCATCATTTTCGAAAATATTTAAAAATTATAATAATTTATCAATACATATACTATGAAACAATTAAACGATTACATTTTCTCTTCAGTGAAAAACAAATGAAGAAATTTAGCAAAATGTTCATGCAGTGTTACTTTATAATGGTTTTAAATAAATTATTTTATATTAATCATTTTAAAATGAATATTAAATTATTCTTAGAACAATAACAGTGTTGTTGTTATTATCAGGTGAAAAAAAAATGTCGGTTTGGCAACTAGTTGAAGCACTAAAAATAAGAAATAAGTATATAAAAGATTAAACAAATTTGAATGAAAACTCAATTTATAAAAATAAAAGCTAATCCAAAATATTAAAATAAAATATATAAAATATTAATAAAAACATTACAAGTACATAAAGTTGGTGCATAAAGAAGATCTGTAAAGTTGCAAAGACTAAAGTCTCAAATCCAAAGAGAATATGACCCCTTTAACTAAAACTGAGAAGCAACTCCTTAAAATTGGGTCTGTTCTTTACAAACAAAGCTGACTTGAAATCAATTATTTTTTTCTGTATGTTTGAAGCAAGACAGACATGGTCACTATGAAGTTGTTGTATGAAAAAGGGCTCCGTTAGAAAAAATAACAGCATATGGATTTGTAATAACATGAGGCTGAATAAATAAAACAGCATTTTTGGGGGTGATTTATCCCTTTAACAACCCCTGCTTTCTCCTCACTCTTTTAAACTGTGTTTCAGGAGAAAAAAAAAACAAACATGAGAGAGAAAAAGAGTATTTAAGTTCACTCACCTCTTTATTGCCTTTCATGAAGAGCATGACGGGTGATTTACTGATTAGAGATTTCAGCCTGTCAGAAGAGAGAATGTTTAGAAAAGTCCAGTCGTACAGAGGGGGAGTTTGAGCGAGCGTGTATCTGTCTTTACCTGTTTTCCAGTGAGACGCTTTTGGGGAAAGTATTCTCAAATTCTCCCGATTCAACCAGCTCCTGTGGAGGATATAAAATATCTCTGAATCCGAACTCGTTTTGAACTCGACTCACACACTCTACTTTCATAACTAACAGCTCCCTGCTGAGATGTTTTACCTCGCTGTAAAGGTAAATTCACTATCTTAATGAGGAAGGGCCTCTAAGACTCTTGAGAGAAGAGAGAGAGGGGGAAGAGGATGGATGCTGGCTAATCTAGCCCTCCTCTCTCAGCAGGAGTGCTCTGCTTGCTTTAAGCAGTATGAGCTCGCTGGGAATGTAGAGCAACATACAGCTAATAACAGCTAGCTGAGAACACACACGCCGTCAAAAGTCCTGAAACATGAACTCTTACGATAATACGCATGGGATAAAATGCACACGATCAAGCGATGAAGAAATCTGTGTTTGGAAAAATAGGGAAATATC